TGCCTCATCCTTCTTTCGCTCTCGCGCCTGGGGCTCGTCAGTCGGAAGAGGAGGAACTGTGGAAGGACTGGGGTGCAGGAAAGAAGGTAAGCAGTTCAAAGGTCTCGTGTGCTCAGTTGTGGATGCAAAAAGAATCAGTTTGGTGCGCAGTGGTGCAAGTATTGTCACGCCCCGCTGCCGCAGTTGGCTCCTGCTGGTTCTCCTGTGGCTCAACGCGTCTGGTCTCCTCAGCATCGCGCCCCCCCTGGCAGGTTCACGCTCTCGGGAGACGGTGCTGGGCGTGGCGGTCAACAGGCGGGAGCAGCTGGTGGCGCAGGCGGTGGTGTGTCCAAGGGCAATGGCAAGGGCGACTTGCAGCTTGTTTTCGCTGGGGCACCACAGGGTTCAGACGCAGACGGCACATCAGGCGTTCCACTTCCTGCAGGACTTGCCCCCAACATCTCGGCTGCGGAGGCGCAGGAACTGGCTCGTCTTTGTGCGAAGGCAGGTGGTGCCAGTGGAGCAAGCTGGTACAGCAACGTCGCGAAAGGCTTGGCCGCTGCTGAAGCCGAGTCCAAGCAGGTGCCATCACCTCATCTGGCGGCTCAACAGCAGCACGGGCAGGTGCGCAAGCTGGAGAAGCAGCTCGAGACGGACTTGGCTCGGCTGCTACGTCTCCAGAACGAACTCGCGGAGCAGGTCGCCAAGGTGCAGAATACCAAGCTGGATCTTGAGAAGGCTGACAAGGAGTACAAGGAAGCTGTACAGAAGCTGGCCGTGGAGTCGAAGGTCAGTACTCAAACCGAGTCGGCGCCCTCGATTCGGCTTGAGGGCTTCATTTCGGGCAAGGTGGATGTCGGAGCGCTCATCAACTGCGACAGTCTGGAGGACCTGGATGCGGAGCTGGAGCTCTCGAAGAGAAAGCTGAAGTGGCCTCTCGTTCGTCGACCCTCTCGCAGGGCATCGCGGACACGGCGAAGCAGCTCTTCGCGCACGCGGTCGAGCAGGCCAAGGCTGCGCAGGCAGCGCACGCTGCCCAGAAGGCCAAGCTGGCGGGCAAGGGGCGCAAGCGCAATGATGGAGAGGCTGCTGCAGGTGGACATGGCCAGGGTGGCGACGCTAGCGGTCCTTCCGCTGCACCAGGGTCTGCTTCGGTTTCGTCGGCAACTCCTGAGGCCTCTGGAGGGGCTGCTGCAGCCGGCGAGGATGTTCGCGCGCGAGCTGCGGCTGAGCATCATGCCTCTTCGGCTTCGCCAGGTGATCCCCCCCCCATCCGCAGCATGAGGGGGGGTCTCCTAGCATGGGCGGCAGTGGCTTGAGTTCCTTTTTTTGTTTTGAATTTTTTCGCGCCTCGAGCCCCGTCGACTGGCTCGAAGGCCAAGCTCGCGGGGATTAGATTGTTGAGGCGTGTTTTCTGTCAGAGGTGCCGGAAGCCGCCACTCCCAGTAAAAAGTCTCGGCCTGTCCCCCTTGAGCCCCCAGAAGTGCCTGCCCGCGCTCCTGTGCCTGGGCCCAAAGAGTCCCCCCTTCATCGCGACGGGTCCTCTGAGTTTCAGCTTCGGGCGGTTACCATCAATGCCAACTCCCTGGGGGGCGGCGAGCAAGATTCAGCAGGAGACTTCAGCTCGCGTGGTTCTTGCGCAGGAGCATCGTCTTCGGATCCTGGAGATGCCGCGACCAAGTCGCAGATCTGTAAATCTGGGGGCTATCGGACTATTTGGGCGCCAGGCTCACGAGGAAAAGGAGGAGGCACGAGTTCCGGAGTATTGGTTGCTGTGCATGAAGGGCTCGGGCTGTTCACGGCCGAGCAAGTGGTTTTGCTCAGGGCAGAGCTGTGGCAGGCTCGCTGCGCGTGCCTGGGCGCTCGCCCTTCGCCCTCGTCTCCCTCGACCTGCGCCGCTCCCAAGGGCGCTCGGGTAAACGTATGGAGGCGCTTCGTAGTTTTGGTTGCTTTTTGGAGGGGCAAGGATGTGAGTTCGCTTTGGGGAGGGGCTTCAACTTCGCCCCCTGTGCACTGGCCCAAACGAATGTTGCCGAGCTTTTGAGGGGGGCGATGGTTGCGGCTGCTGGTCACGCGCATTTCCCGTCTGGCGGTGCTCGCCCTGACGCGCGTGACGTTTCCGTTTGCTCGGCTTCGCTCGGCCGACGCATGCAGGAGGTCCGCGTCGCCGCCGAATCGGATCTTTCACTTCGCAGGCCAGGAAAAATCACCTTTCACAGATCCCTGGCCGCTCTGGAGGCCCCCACCTTCCGCCGCCCCCCTGATCTCCCGTCGCGCCCGCCCGCGGGGCCCCGGCCGTGTCCTGGGGGCTGGTCTTCGGCGCTGGAGCGTTCTAGGGCGGCGCGCAAAGCGGCTCTGGAGGGGAATTTGGAAGGAGCGCGTCGCCTCCTTACCCCTGGTTATCGCCTGTGGGCCAACCAGGCCGAAAGTGCTTTGAGTCGGATGGTTGCCCCCCCCCCCACCCCACCCACCCCGCGCCGCCGCCGCGCGCCCCTGCCCGCGGCGCGAGGGGCGAGCGCCCCGAGCCCATGTGGAAGTCGGTCTTGAAACCAGGGGGCGAGGTCACATCCCCGCCCCAGGTCCATCAACTGGCTGGCTTCGCAACTTCGAGCCCTCAGGCGTTACTTCGCAGGTGAGGGGGCGGATCTTCGAAGTGAAGGATGCGGCGTTGCCCGCGGCCTTCAGCGCGCGCCGCCCGATGTCGCCGCGCAGCCTGACTCGGAGTGGCACCCCTTTTTTCCACGCGGCTGCGAGCTTAGCTTCTCGATTTCTCGCCGCCTCGCCCTCTAGCTGTGTCCCGCGCGGTATCGATGAGTTGCGGTCTAGATCGCTCGGGTTGGATATCGACCAAGAGCGCGATCTCGCTGGGCGCCTGGCCATGCGCCCAGGGACTGATACTCTACTGGAGGGGGGTGATCAGTCTTGCGCCCGGGCTAAGGCGGAGGCGACTGCTGAGGCCAGAGCTACGTGGAAGGAGTGGGTCACCGACGGATTGAATGGAGGTGCGTGCTCGAAACGCTCAGGTGGCCATTCGTGATCCTCAGCCGTGGGCTCCCACCACCACTCTTTCGGCTGGCGGAGTTGTGCTGGCTGATCCTCTCTCCTCGCTCAAGGGAGAGTCGGATACGTTCGTCTCTATCGAGGGGGAGGGAGAAGGGATTGGGATGGACGGCTCGTCTTTGTCTCCTCTCCTGTTGCTCGAACCTGACCAGATCAGGGCGGTGGCCAAGAAGTATCGTCATTCCAGCTCGGTGAGTGTGGATGGCTTCCACTGTAGGCGTTTTTCTCTGCTGTGCGACGAAGCCCTGCTGCGTCTTGCTTTATGGTTCAATGGGGGCTCGCGCAGGGCCCTTTTTTTCGCCGTGCGAGGGCTTGTGGCGGGCTGCTCGTTCGCAACGAGCCTCGTCAGAGTCTTCGCCATGTTTTGATCAGGTTCCTCGTCCTTCAGGCTTGGACCTCGATGCCTACGTGGACGACCTGAGTCTCAGCTGCACGGGCACGGCCAGATCTGTTCTTCGAGCCCTGGTGGCGGGGGCTCGTGCCTTGCTTGAAATGGCCAGGAAAGTGCTCAACTTTAAACTGGCCATGGATAGGAGTGGCATGGTTTCTTCGTCCAAAGATGTTGCTTCCCAGCTCGTCCAGAGACTTCCCCCCCTGGCGGGCTCGGAGGGGGGTGCTGGGAGAGTTGCCAACTCGGGGGTGGATTGCGCTGCCGGCAGAGCTTTGCGTGCGCCTGGCAAAAGCCGCGCGGCTAAGCTGACGGCCTAGGATTGCTGCTACTCTTCGTCGGACCAAGCGCCTGTGCAAAACCAAAGAGGCTCTTGGCAGGAAGACGCTCGAAGTGTTCGCTGCGGGACCGCTTGCTGGCGGGGCCTATGGCTCGGACGTTTTCGGTGTTTCCGACCGAGAACACTCGACGTTGCGCAGAGCCTCCATGTCTTGTATGAGGCCGAGGGCCCAAGGCAGATCTCTTGCTGCATTCAGCTTGCTTGAGAAGGATCCGCGCTGGAGAGTCAGTGCCGCTCCGGTTTTGCGGTGCGCGAAGGAAATCTGGCTGTGCCACGCGAGAGCTTTCCGCCAGTGCCTGTCGTGGGCCGAGCTCCGTGAGGGATCGGCCCAGACTTTTCAGCATGGCGATCATTCTTGGGCTATGGTTAGAGGGCCTTTGTCGGCCCTGCGTATGTGTTTGTATAGGCTGGGGTTGGACCATGCCTGACTTCGTCGTTCAAGGATGATTTTGGTAGGGATCGTTCGATGGCCCTCGCGCCCCCGTCGCTTCTCAAGGTTCTCTGCAGGGATGCGGTGTTCAGAAACCTTGAGCGGGGTTCTGGTGAACGCTATGGGGTGGGGCATCGGCTGTGCTGGGATGCTGTTAAGCAGCAGTTCGGCTCATCAAAGATCTCGGGCAAGTCCAGAGCCTGCATGCGTGCGCAAACCACCAATGCTGTTTGGACTGGCGCGGATGCAGTGCGATCTGACAATGCTGTTTCAGATCGCTGCCCTTTCTGTGGATGTTCACCTGACACACTACATCACCGCCTATATGAGTGCCCTGCCGTTTAGAAAGAGCGCAACGAGGTATTGCCTGATTGGCTGATGTGTGCTGCTTGCGATGTGGACCCTGAATACGACAGAGTTTTCTCTTTCGGCATGGTGCGTTCCGGCATCCTGGTGACACGATGCCTCCCCCTTTGGGTGATGGTGGTGTTTCTCTGGTGTGGTAAGCTCAAGTCTTGCCTCCTCCTCCTCCTCCTCCTCCTCCTCCTCTTCCTCCTCCTCCTCCTCTCCTCCTACAAACATGAAGACGAATCGGAAAGCCACGCGCGCGCACTCCGAACGCACTACCGGGTGCTGCCGCTGCTCTACCGGTTCGTCGTGTTCGCAGAGGAGTTCGGAGTGCGCGCGCGTCGCTTTCCGATTCGTCTTCATGTTTGTAGGAGGAGGAGGAGGAGGAGGAGGAGGAGGAAGAAAAGGAGGAGGAGGAGGGGGAGGGGGAGGAGGAGGAGGAGGAGGAGGAGGAG